AAAGGTATGTATAAAGTCAATAATCTGAAGTTTGACCCACCACCACTACAGTAATCAAATATGATAATGTCATTGTATGTATCATAATTGGCTATTTTTGAGCAGGACTGGAAGGACTCCCTCTTAGTTTGCAAGCCAACTTTGTATGGTATGGCACAGTGGCTCAGTGGTTGCATTGCTGCCTGTCAGACCCAGGAACCAGGTTCGATTCCAGTCTCTGGTGACTATCTGTGTGGAGTTTGCACGTTCTCACCATGTCTGTGTGGATTTCCTTTGGGTGTTCCCGTTTCTTCCCTCTGTCCAAAGATGTGTGGGTTAGGTGGATTGGCCGTGTAAATTGTCCATAGTGTCCAGGAATGTGTAGGTCAGATGGATTAGCTACGGGGAATGCCGGGTCACAGGGATCGGGTAGAGGATGGGTCTGGATAGGATGCTCTTCATGGGATTGGTTTGGAGGAGATGGGCCAAATGGTCTGCTTTCACGCTGTCGGGATTTCATTATGCAGCCTGATCACAATTCAAGACAATGTTATAAAAGAACCGTTCATAAGTACAGAAAAAATTTGCATGTTGGATCTTTTAAAATTTACACCCTTGTGTGAGATCATGCTCATCAGTATGAAGATTCATGAGTCTAATGATCGTAAATCTGTCCACACCTCAATCTTGCTGAAAATTTCTTCTAATTATGTAGAAAACTGACATGAACACTGGATATCTGGCACTCCTTGAAAATGACCTGGCAGTAATACAACTACTTGTGTTTTGCTACCATGTACATAAGCATTCTATGGAACATGGATAGAATGTCAGTGGCAGGTGTTTGTTTCTCTAGCCCATTTATGGCAAGTGAATGCCAAGCCTGGGATAAATGTGCGCAGTGTCGGCTAAGTAGTCTCCCTAACAACTGATGCAGTTTGTTTCTGCATTAACTATTGTACAAGTGCTTGTATAGACCAGTTTTGTTATATGGCTACCTTGACTTATTACCAGCAGCTTTTAATGCATGTTTTCTATGAAGCTGACATTGACTTTTCAATTTGGTCATAGCCGCCTTCTCTATAGCCACTTCATTTGCAGTTTGGGAAAGCTTTATCCAATTCATGGACTGAAGGGAAACTGTTGAGGTATATTTTTTTGTTTGTTTAAAGCTTAACCCACTTGGATACTGAGAAATGTGTTGTTGCTTTGCCCCTGGTATGGCTTTGAATTACTACTTGAGGCAATGACCTTTGCTAAGTGAATATAAACTTCATAGCAGAAGGAAGCCTTTTCTCATTTATCAATAAAACATCTACCCTGTTATGTAGAATAAAGTCTGAATCAACTTCTTTTCTGGAGAAAAGCTGTCCTCTAAACTACTATCTTCTTTCCTTTCTTTTCCCTTCTTTCTTTCTTTTCCCTTCTTTCTTTCTTTTCCCTTCTTTCCCTTCTTTCTTTCTTTTCCCTTCTTTCTTTCTTTTCCCTTCTTTTCTTTTCCCTTCTTTTCTTTTCCCTTCTTTTC